CCCCAAAACCCCAAAACCCCAAAACCCCAAAACCCCGCAATTGGGAGAATTATTTAATCGACTGATAAATTAAATTAAAAATTATATTATAACGTTACTACATAAAAACAAATATATTAATGGATACTCTTCCAGATCCATGCGATGATCGCAAGATTAAAGAGGTAGCGATTTGCTTGTTAATATTTGTAGGTGCCACCTCCTCCTCACAGACCATTAGACTCTAAAATATTGTTCCCCAATAGACTTAATGGATTGCCTGACTGGGAAATGCTTTAAAATCACTTAAAGCTAGAGGGCAGAATTAGAAAAGCTGATTTTATGAAAATAGTCAAGGCTACTACTGAGTTATTGAGTAATTTCGATGGGTTGTTGAACATAATTTTAAAATAGAAACTGAGCCTAATATGATTTCCTTAACAGATCCAGTGTGTGTTTTCGGGGATTTGCACGGTCATTTTTATGACTTAATTAACATTTTCCAAGCAATCAATGGAGTGACTGACTTCAAGTAATATATAAATTTTCTTAGGTTAAACTGTAATCATTTAGACTCTTATTCCTGGGAGATTATGTAGACAGAGGTCCTTATTCTGTTGAGATCATCACTTTCCTCTTTGCTCTCAAAGTAAGTATAATCAAAATGATAACGAATATTTAAAAGCTTTACTACCCGAAGAAAATATTTATGCTCAGAGGAAATCACGAGTCTAGATTGATGTCTATGCATTTCACCTTTAGAGAAGAGGTGATGTAAAAATACGACCTAGAAGTATTCAACGCTATAATGGATGCTTTTGAAAATTTACCTCTTTCATGCTTAGTGGTATATATTTTAAAATCATTGATAAAAAATTTGTTTAGAATGGGAAGTATTTTTGCATTCACGGAGGACTGTCTCCCAAATTGAAATCTATTTCAAATATTAATCAAATAGACAGGAAATAAGAAATACCAGAGAGTGGATCTCTGTGTGATCTCTTATGGGCTGATCCTGTTTCATCAGATAATGGCACTCACGAAGAAAAGGAAATTGATTTTGTCAAGAATTAAAGACGTGGCTGCTCTGTCCTTTTTGGGTAAGTTTATCTATCAGAAAGTTATCAATTAAACTTAATTTCTAGAAAAAAGGCAGTAAATACATTCTTATCTGCAAATCAATTGGTTTGTGTAATTAGGGCACATGAAGTACAGTAAACTGGGTATAAATTTCATAAATGGAATGGAGCCACTCACTTCCCCTCAGTAATTACTGTATTTTCAGCACCCAATTACTGTGATGTCTACAACAATAAAAGTGCTATTATAAAGATCTAGGATGGAAATTTCAATATAAAGTAGTTTAATTACACTCATCATCCATACATGCTACCTAAAAACATGGATGTGTTTACTTGGTCTTTGCCTTTTGTCTTTGAGAAGGTTTAGGAAATGCTTGAAGTCATAGTTAAGAAATGTGCAGCTGTAGATGATGAGGAAGAAGAAGAGGAAGAGTAGAAAGACCCAAACGTCTTGAATGTAAAGATGACCAAAATGAATGCTCTCAAGAGGAAGTCTACACTAAGGACTGTAATGTCACATAAGATCATGTTTCTATCTAAAGTCTCGTCACTACTAAAAAGAGCAAGGTATTTTAATAATTGAGTATAATAATTTTTTAGGGAAAAGAATGAAGCACTGATTAAAATACATGGAATGTGTCCAGATAAAATGATCCCAGACGAGATGATTGGAGAGTGCTCAATTGAGATTAAGGATTCAAGCAAGCATTTCTTCAAGGCAACTAAATTTGACACTGAAAATGAAATGAGGCCTATGATGCCAAGATGATTATCATTCAAATTACTCTATTACTCATTACTAACAATTATAAGTCCCTGGGGTTTTGGGGTTTTGGGGTTTTGGGGTTTTGGGG